TATATATATATATATATATAAAATTAACCTTTAAGTAGGTAGAGGTTTAAAGCAAGTTAGTAGGTGGAATGCTCACACCTCAAGTAGAAATTTTAATAGTTTTATATTTTTGCTACTCCGTTAGAATTTATATTAAAGAAACAATGATAACATAATCCCTTGAGTTAAATAACATTTTGTTATTTTTACCTTCCATATATGTGTTAAAATGTAAACCATTCCATTTCCATGGTTAGTTTCAAAGTAAACAACATCCATATTAACGTATGTTCTTAGCAAATATTAAACTAAATTTAAGTCAATACATTTTATTCAATTAAATTGTTTAACCTCATTGTTTTGATTAAATTAATAATATATCAAGTAGGAACAGTGGCGACCTATAGAAATGATTGAAAATAACTGAAATTGAAAGATACACAGAAAAGGCGATTTTGCTGAAGTATGTATCTAAAAATTTATTTAGATACAGATCTGAAAATAACTTTGTTGGCTCATAACAATAGAACGCTCAAATGTTGATGACAATGCTGCAAAAAATTTTAATATTCTAACAATTACTTTGAACGTTCTACTTAATTATTTTAATGGTCCAAACAAAATTATTTTCAGCCCTATATCTATGTAAATGTTTATACATAGGCAAAACCGTTCTTTTTGTGTATTATTTACATTATGAATTTAATAATGTAGTATATTATGTTACAGTTAAATATACATTAGTTACTTTTATGAAACAAAATTGAAAAAATAGTGAACTTTGAAACTTCTGGGCATTTGGATAATATCTTTTATCTTTCTTTTTCAGAACAAGATTTTAAAGAAAATTTTACCTGGGATGCTATCTCTATGGGATGCTGGCCATTCTATTCACTTAAAGATTAAATATAATCCCAATTCGGTTTCCAATCTCACGAAGTACCTGATGCAAAAGGAGAGTGTATATAGATGTAAACGTGATGGAAGCCACGATGAATAAAACCGTAAAAGATCACGTTATCATTACTGAATACATGGCGTGGTAAATCGCATTATCGCGAGAAATACGAATTACTTTAACGACTTCCTTGTCGGGTCTCTTGGATGCGCGCGATTTTAGTTGAAGGTCCATAAATCTGATTTCACTTCCACTCCGTCTCCGCTCCGTAGCTTACCAAGTTAATTACATTAAAAACATTATTATTACTGCTTACGCGAAGAGGTCACCCGCGAGTACTGGTGTCTCATTACGCGTGCATCTTTCACAGACATGTTCAAATGTCGGTGTGTCGCTTCCCGTTGTTCCTCCTCTGTTTCTTCCTAATAACACTTGCGATAGTAAATAAGAAAAAAACGTCGCAGTATTAACGACATACTCGTGTAAGAAATTTGAAAGATGACGAGGAGAAAGATGAACTTTAGGATGATGTTAAAGCGCGATTCTTAATTTTAGATGATGTATTAAGCGGGAGAACGTGAACAATAAACGGTTCCGAGCGATATCACCTTTCCGCAGCGGGTCTGGTATAATAATAATAATACGTTGCCTTGAATTTGTGAAAAGAGTCACCAGCGATATTTTGTGAAATATGCCATGATGAATAATCCGATAACGTAAAATCGTGGCACGGGGAAACAGGTACAGAAGGCCGCAGGAAAACCAAGTACTCTGATTAACCCGTTTTACGTCAATTACCGTATCGGTCGAGCATTGAGCGAAGTCCTTGTAGAGAAGCCATTTCGGTTGGCTTCCGTTTAATGAGATTCCAATTAACGTACGAAATAGATTGGCGCGACCGAAGGCAACCGATCTCAATCTGGCAAACATATTCGTGTCATCTCCTTGCTGTTGCTAAGAGGCTGATTACTAAAGTCGCTAATAACTTCTCCTCTTCTTTTTTTAATATTCCTTAATTATATATCCTTGTCTTGTGTAAAGCTGTACACTTGACTATCACTTGAGGTAGATATTCAGGAAATAAAGTTCGGATTGTATTATAATGAAAGATACAGACGGGAATTGAAATGAGTTTACTTTCGTTTGCTGTAAGTCGTGGCGGCTTTGTAGGAACGGCTTGGATTTCAATATGTCGGAATTTAAATCCTTTTGCGAGGAAACCCGTCTGGCACATCGTACAGCCGTTTGCCGCTCAAGGAAAGAAAGCTATCGATTTCACAGATTGGTTCCTCGCAAAAAGTTAAGCCAGGAAGGTTGAATCAAAGGTGGAAGTGAATTTCGTAAAAAGGTTAGCGCCACTCCCAATTACTGATTCCCTTTCCTTCATTATTCTTTTCTCTCTTGTTCTCTTCTCCTCGCCCCTCTCTCTCTCTCTCTCTCTCTCTCTCTCTCTCTCTCTCTCTCTCTTTCTTTTTCCCCCTTTTTTTCTCGCTCATCTTCACTCAGCCACCTTTGAATAATACCTTCCGGGGCTTTGCTCACCTTAATGAAAATCTAAATGTTTCACGAATTCGTTTCTTCTCAAAATTCTTTTCATGCATTCTCTTATCCGAAAGAATAAAATGCAACAATATTATACGCACAATATTATACGCAATTGTTTATGTTCTGCACTTGTGCATTATTATTATTACATTACGTTCACTTTACTAAACAATTAATTTCAATTTTAATTACAAAACTGTTTAAGCCACAAAAGTAAAAAAAACTTGTTTTCGATGAGTCGAGGCCGAAGGAAGGAGGGGATGTAAGTAGACAAAGGAAATTCATTTTCCTGTATTAATTTACAGCGAGTTTCTCCTCGACTAAAACTTGAGTCGGCAGTTGACCGCGAAATACTCACGTCTGAAAAAACATCGCGTAGATTAAAGCGAGACTGCGCGTGTTTATAATTACAATCGAATATTTGGAGCACGCTTCCGGAATGTGAGAATAATTATTTGCTGAACGCGAAATTAGATTGTATTGCGATTGAATATGACCGCCACGCGCAACGGGATTTTCAATGAGCGGCGTTTAATTAGATACCAACGTCGAACGACTATCGCATTGCAAACGACCGGCGTACACGCACCGTTTTACCTACTTTGCTTAAGCCGGATCATCCCAGCCGTTACGAAACGTTAATTATTGCATCTCCGCTTACCCCTCCATCTGTTATAACGGTATTGCATCTACCTTGTCAAGCTCGGAACAATATCGCCACGCGACAAGCACTCGCGTTTGATTACGTCGACAGCATTTGCCGCGACGCAACAGTTCAATTACTCGCAAATTGTTATTCGCATTGGTCATCAACTATTGGGCTCCAAGAAGTCATAGATAACGGTGGATATAATTTCTTTGTCCGTGTCTATGTCCTCGTGTCTGTATATCTGCCGCATACGGTCTTCTCATGGAAGCGCGATCAACAATCAATCGATCATCTTTACATGCGTATTCGATTGCGCTGCATA